TCGTGCTTTCCCTCTCTCTCCCTAAAATAAATAAATAAATCTTTTTTAAAAATATACGGAAACAAAGAACTAGAATGAACCCTGAAGTGTTGTATTGAAATTGGACATATGAGTGTGATATTGATAAATATAGAAACATAGGTGTTGAACCTGTATATACACACTATGTTTGTGTATGTGTGTGTGCACATGTGTGTGTACACATTCCCAACTTCTGTCCGTGTAGAGGATCTAGGAGTAGTAACACTCCAGCAGAAATGAAATCATCTAATATCCAGACTGGTTTTCTCAATACTATTCTCCACTAAAAGAAGCCAGGATTTCTTAAAGAAATGGTAGATCTCAAGCGTGGGAAAGGGAAAGACTGAGATGAGCCAGGAACATCAAACTGCTGTCGAGAAAGTTAGGAAACGGACATGTCAAAAGGACACCGAAGTCAACCTGAAAGTGCTCCTACTGACCAAATCAAGAAAAAATTGTGAATAAGAATTGATAAATGAGGTATTAGTGATAATAGCAATAATGGTAGTAACAGATTATAGCCCACTGAATAAATTAGGAATTGCTAAGTCCATGCTAGAAATAAATTAATTAAAGATTTAATGAGGAACTGGGTATTTACATAGTCTCATTGCAAATCCTCACACAAATATTTGTTAATTTACAAAGGCTAATGGAGTAATTTTGCAATGGAGAAGCTTAGCAGACACTCTCAATCAAGGGATGAAAGTGAATATTTTCTGTAAGAGGAAAAATCAAAATTGGTTGCTTAATACGATGGAATGAGAAGAGCTCAGCATCCAGTATTGCTTTTGTGATATTCCTGCCAATGGTATATAACCTGACTCTAATCACAAGGAAACCTTGAACAAACCCAAATTGGGGGAGGGGGGGATTCTATAAAATAATTGGCTTATAATCTTCAAAAATGTTAAGGTACTGGAAACCAAAAAAACTAAAGGATGGTGCCCAACTGATGGAAACATGACAGCATGAACAAGCTACTCTCAAATGGATTAGGTGGTAATAATAATGCAATGTTAATCTTATGGGTTTTTTTGTTTTGTTTTGCTTTGTTTTTTCTTCAAGTTTTTATTTCAATTGCAGTTTGTTAACCTACAGAGTAATATTGGTTTCAAGTGTAGGATTTAGTGATTCATCACTTACATACAACACCCAGTGCTCATCAACCATTTAACACACTTAATCCCCACCAGCCATTTAACCCACACCCCCCTACCTTCCTCCCTTCCAGCAACCCTCAGTTTGTTCTCTATAGTTAAGAATCTGTTTTATGGTTTGCCTCTCTTTTTTTTCCCCCTTATGTTCATCTGTTTTGTTCTTAAACTCCACATGAGTAAAATCATATGGTATTTTTCTTTCTCTGACTGATTTCCCTTAGCATAATCCTCTCTAGCTCCATCATGTTATAGCAAATGGCAAGATTTCATTCTTTTTGATGGCTGAGTAATAGTTCATTGTGTATATATACCACCTATTTTTTAACCATTCATCAGTCAGTGGACATTTGAGCTCTTTCCATATTGACTATGTTTGATAATGCTATAAATATCAGGGTGCACATATCCTTTTGAATTAGTATTTTTGTATCCTTTGGATAAATACTTAGCAGTGCAACTGCTGTATCATAAGGTAATTCTATTTTTAACTTTTTAAGGAACTCCCATCCCATTTTCCAGAGTGGCTGCACCAGTTTGCACTTCCACAAACAGTGTAAGAGAGTTTTGCTTTCTCCACGTCCTTGCTAACACCTCTTGTTTCCTGTGTTGTCAATTTCAGCCATTCTGACTAGTGTGAAATAATATTTCATTGTGGTTTTGATTTGTATTTCCCTGATGATGAGCGATGCTGTGCATTTTTTCATGTGTCTGTTGGAAAAACATCTATTCATGTGTTCTGCCTATTTCTTTACTGTCTTGTTTGTTTTTGGGGTGTTGAGTTTGACAAATTCTTTACAGATTTTGGATACTAACTGTTTATCAGACATCATTTTCAGATATCTTCTCCCATTTGATAGGTGGTCTTTCAGTTTTGTTGATTGTTATCTTTGTTGTGCATAAGGGTTTTCTCTTGATTTTGTGTCAACAGTTCATTTTTGCTTTTGTTTCCCTAGCCTCAGGAGATGTGTATAGTACGAAGTTGTTACAGCCCAGGTCAAAGAAGTTACTGCCTATGTTCTCCTCCAAGATTTTGATGCTTTCCTGTCTCACATTTAGGTCTTTCATCCATTCTGAATTTATTTTGGAGTATGATGTAAAAATGTGGTCCAGTTTCGTTCTGCATATTGCTGTCCAGTTTTCCAAACAGCATTTATTGAAGAGACTGTCCTTTTCCCATCAGATATTTTTCCTGCTTTGTCAAAGATTAGTTGACCATATAGTTGTGGGTTTGTTTCTGGGTTTTCTATTCTGTTCCTTTTATCTGTTTTTGTGTAAGTACAAAAACTTAATACTGTCTTGATCACTAGAGCTTTATGATACAATTTGAAGTCTGCAACCATGATGCCTTCAGCTTTGTTTTTCTCTTTCAAGATTTCTTTGGCTATTTAAGGTCTTTAATGGTTCCATACAGATGCTAGGGTTATTTGTTCTAGTTCTGTGAAGAATGCTGGTGGGATTTCAGTAGGGATTGCAGTAAATGTGTAGATTGTTTTGGGTAGTATAGGTGTTTTAACAATATTTGTTCTTCTAATCTGTTAGCATGGAATGTTTTTCCATTTCTTTGCATAATTTTCAATTTCTTCCATAAGTATTTTATAGTTTTAGGAGTATAGATCTTTTACCTCTTTGTTTAGGCTTATTCCTAGCTATCTTATGGTTCTTGGTGTGATTGTAAATGGCATCAATTTCTTGATTTCTCTTTCTGCTCGTTCATCACTGGTGTATAAAAATGCAATGGATTTCTGTACATTGATCTTGTTTCCTGTGACTTTAATGAATTTGTGTATTAGCTCTAGGAATTCTTTGGTGGAGTCTTTTGGGTTTTCTACATAGACTATCATGTCATCTGCAAATAGTGAAAGTTTAACTTATTCCTTGATGATGTGGATGCCTTTTATTTCTTATGGTTGTTTTAGCTATATTGTAGTTATGTAGGACAATGCCCTCAATCGTAGAAAATATATACTAACGTTTGTGCGATGATAGAGCAAAAGCAGTTGGTGACTTACTCTCAAATAATTCAGAAAAAAAATATACTGTGTTTGCATTTTTTCTGTGAGTTTGAGATTATTTTCTATATAAAAAAGTGTAAAAATATAATCTCATTCTGTGTCTTGTATATATGGGTCCCTGATACAGTTCAAAGTTTGTCTCATTTTCTTTATTGTGATTGAATCCAACTTAAATTAAAATACAAAATATTTAATGAACATAAATCCAATACATGTGTGGGAAACAAAAGAGATCTATACTAGTATTTATACTCTTCAATCTTTTTAAGAGATAACAACTGCAGCATACACTTAGATCTTTTGCCCCTATGAGATAGATAAATTAACAGTCTTCAAGAGAATCTGTGCTGTGTAGACATTTCTAGTCTACTAAAGTCCAATTTGTAGCACAAACCAATGCAATACTGTAGCAGAAACCATAAATTACAAAGTAATAACTCTCACACAAAGTAATTACAATCCTCATTACACAACGCTTCCAAAAGAACAATGTACTTTCTCTGAGGAAACAGGCTTCTTTCTCCCACCAGGATAGTTCAACATGCCTTCCCAAACTAAAGAAACACCCTTCCATTCAACACTGGTATTTTTAAAACCATTAAAACATCTGGCTACACAAGTAGATTTAATAATTATACCTTTAAGAAGAAAGCATTTTTAAGAGATAAATTTATTTACTTTATTTTACTGATAGTGCGTTTAATTACAAGCAGAAAGATAATCGCCAAAGATATCAAATATCAAATAAAAACATTTTAAAACATTCAGTTCATTCAATAATTACTAGATGGCCATCTCCTGCTAGGCTTAAGCTAGATGCTGTGAGAGAAAACAAAAACAACCAAGGTATCAGCATTAGATTTCAGGAGCTTATCTTCTGCAACTGAGTACAGCATTATTACACAATTTACTGATACTCATTTATCCTATCAAGAAGACTATGGCAGAATAATTTGAATGATCAAAATCTACATCCAGAGGAGGAATAGTGTCTGAAACAAATTAACAAAAATCAAGGAAACTCGGCTAAACTTCTCTCAGATGACAGAAGTGTACCGTATGTTCAAGTCTTATATGTGGTTAATTGTGTCACGCCACTTTCACCAGCGAGAGCAAAAGGACATTCACCACCCCCTTCACCAAAAACAAACAGAAATACACTAGGGACTATAGGTTAAAATGAATTACCAAGAGCCAACTTACAAAATTACTTTTGAGATTGAGAGACGTGCATAAAAGGGAAGATGGGCTTTGCCATGGAAATGGGTTGGAGGGTTTATGGATGGATTGTATGTTTGTATGAGATCCAAGTAAATATTTTCCACCACTTGGCAGAACACTGACCTACACAGGATTGATTCCTGTTCTGTTGACAAAACACAGGGAAAAAGTAAGCAGCCTATCCATCAGGCCCTTGGGCTTCTCCACTTGCCTGATACCTTCCAATCTGTTAGTTTCAAACCAATGCATCTAGTCAATTATTAACCGGTTTATCATTAACATTACTGCATGAATGTGATATAGGGCACAATTCATTAAAGTTTATACAGTCACTGATATCCTGAGGGATTCCCAACAAAACTGGATGGGTTAATTTTGAGCTATGGAGTAGACCCAGTGAGGATTATATCCCACCCCCCACCACGCTCATATTGTTCATCTAATTAAAGGTACCATGCAATGGGGATCAACAACGTAATCAGAAAAAAATTCATTTTAAAAGGAAATATTATCAACTTTTTATGAATTGGAATGATAACAAGACATTAAGTAGACTCACTCATGTAGAAAAAGATATCACAATCTTATTCTGGAGAAGATTTAAATTTTTTGACCAAACATTACTGAGAGATATGGCTGATTCAAACTCTAGGGCAAGGGAACATTTTTAATGGACTCGGAGGTTTTGCAACGTCTGCCATGTTTTCACGCAGGTTGAACTAGATGCATGTTGCGGATCTCAACACGCATCAAACAATGTTTACTGTTTGAATACCCGTGAGTGCAAATCTGAGATGGATGAGTTGAGTTAGCTTGATTACAGCGATCTGATCTTCCTTGTGGCGCTGAAGCTCAGAGCAAAATGGTACCCGTTAATCAGAATTCTAGGAAAGAGCTGTTAGGAGGGATTTTTGTGTTTTGTCTTCTCTTCACAGACCTGTTCGGGGTGGTCAGCTGGTGACAATTTTTAATGGAAAGAGGCTCTTACTTTTCGGCCCTTCAGAGGCTGTGGTGGGCGGTGATTGCTCAACAAAAAAGCCGCTGCCTCGCCCTCCGCCGTGCAGAGGAGAGTGCGGAATGTGGCCAACTGTTGAAGAAAAGAACAGTGTTGGCTTCAGCACAGAAGGTCACACCAAGGTTGGTGAACTGTCCTACACTGAAAGTTATGAAACATATAACCTTTCCTCTACCAGAAACTAAAATATATTACAGCAAAACTGTTCTAAATTATGAGTCATATATATAAGAAAACACCACTTCTGCTAAGTTCTCACCACTATACAAATACATGTGGGTTCAAAAAATTAAGTACATAAGCACTTTCCATCTGAAGACAGAAGTAATATGAGGAAACAGAATGTGGTTCAAAGAGGACATGTCTAGGATTCAGAGAATGTCACCTACAAAGGCAAAACGGGACCATGGAAAGGTCACTGTACTGGCTTCCAAAGATAGGTCCCAGTCCTCGGTCTGGCATGACCAGCTGGGTGACCTTGGGTGCTGGTCTTCAGTTACCTCATCAATAAAGTGAAGCATTGGATTATATGTTCTCAATAGGTAATATTGGAATCACACCAAACATGTACTAGTAGTACTCTAGTACCATAGAACCTCAATTTTCATGGCAACCTTGTGGTGTTCATCCTATAGAATATTGAGCTTTTAAGTACTGTTTTCCTTAAGAAATGATTTTGCTTTCACCATACTTGAGCCTTGAACAGCTAACTATGGTAAATGCTTGGATTGTTCAACCTCTGATAATGTTTAAATACAATTCCAGCAATATAGGCATATTTCTCATCAAAAGGGCTTAAATTTTCTTATTACAAAAAAATGCTGACTTGTCTTACAAACTCCATACAACACACAAAGCATCAAGAAGAAAATAGAAATTACTAGTAATCACATCACAAGATATAATCACAGTTAACATTATGGAGTATACCCTTCCAGACGTTTTTATATATAAACACGTGAATGCACACACAATTTTTATTATAAAAACGGCTCAACTATCATGCTCTTTTGAAACCTTATTTTTTTACTTAATAGATATCCTATATATCTTTGTATGTCAATAAACATAAATCTACACTACTATTTTTAATTGCTGAAGTTTTCTACTCTAAGCATGTTATATAAATCGTTTAACAATTCCTTGGTGAGTTAATACTATTTATCAAGATTTAGCACCAGGCTACAGTAGTAAAATGAAGACTGGGTAAACTAGCTGAATAATTCTACTTTCCTGAAAATGTTCACCAAAAATGCATTACCAATTAACGCAACTACGTTTCTGATGTTTCTTTTCCTATTTCGCTTAAGCAAAGACAAATTATAAAATTATTGAGAATAAAAGTCCTGCATTGGGCTCCCAGCTCAGTAAGGAGCTTTTCCCTCTGCCTGCCTCTTCCCTTGCTTCTGCTCTCTCTCTGACCAAAAAAAAAAAAAAAAAAAAAAAAATCTTAAAAAAAAAAAAAGTCTCCATCCTCTAATCTGTGCTAGTCATTTAATTGCAGAATCAAGCAAATTCACACTAAGATAGGGATACCTGGGTGGCTCAGTTGGTTAAGCATCTGCCTTCACCTCAGGTCATGATCCCAGGGTCCGCATCAGGCTCCTGCTCACTGGGGAGTCTGCTTCTCCCTCTACCCCTCCCCTGCTTGTGCTGTCTCTCTCTCTCATGTAAATAAATAAATCTTCTAAAAAAATTCACACTAAGACACATCTATTACATTTCCATCATCACCATTTAGTTGAAGCCTAAAATATTTCTTGTACAGTTCTAGCCAGGAGGGGAGGCAGAAGTGATGGAGGTCCTCCATAACTAGCAGGCAAAGGTCTGTCAGCACACTCCACAGAGACAGGTTCATGCATCATATACAAGCAGCCATGTCTTTCCACAGGTGATACTTTGAGGGGTATAGATGGGCAAGATAAGACAAATATTTACAACCTACTATTATTCATATTTCATTAGACTGGATTATAGCTAGAGCCAGATGAGACTTGAATAATTCTCTGAGAGAGCCAAGCAGTGGAGGTAAATAAAATCTAACCTCTAGAGCCACAGGGAAAACACTCAGCCTTCTGCAGATCATGGGGATCACGTCTGTCCAGAATGGCCTCTCCCGATGGCTGTGCAGGAATCCCAAGGCCTGAATCAGGGCACCAGCTTGCTGGCCTCAGCAAGCACAGCTCGCCTCCCAGTGACGCTGCCCATTCCTCTGAAGAGGTTGTCTTTTGTTTTGTTTTGTTTTGTCTTTAAGATTTTATTTATTTATTTGAGAAAGGGAAAGGGAGAGCAGGGGTAGGGGCAGGAGAGAGAGAGAGAGAGAGAAGGAGCAGGAAAGGGGCAGGGATTCCCAGGACCCCAGGACTGTGAGCTGAGCCAAAGGCAGATGCTTAACCAACTGGGCCACCCAGGCACCCCTCCCACCCTCCTTTGAGTCCTCTGCAAGTTGGTCATGGCTCCCTACCTCTGTAACACCTTAACCTCACTGGAATTTCTCTAGTTCTTTCTCTGACCTGTCTGTACATTTTGGTGAGATTCATTGAGCCTATCCTGATGGCTCCTTCCCTTTCTGGCTCTGGTTCTCCCTCCCAATCACTCAGTCCGGCTAGGTAGCACTGCGTCTGCCAGTCCCTGTTCAGATCTACTTCTCTCGGCTCTGGCATCCTCCACCACCGCACTAACCTCCAACTGCATACCGCAGGCTGGCCCTTACCAGTCTCGCCACTCTCTGGGCCCCTGGGCTCCTTGCAGACAGAAAAATCTGCCACTCTGTCACGAGGGCTGATATCATCTATACGAGTCCTGGCAGGAGTCTCCCCAGATGAGCCTGAAGGCTGAGGAGGGTGTGATCTGTTTTGCAGGTTTTCTTGGCTCTAATACTGAAATTTTAACGTCCTTATAGAGCAACCCCAGTAAGCAGAAATACCTTTTCTAATGTTTTGTAAATCGCTTTGCTTATGTCACTCTAGAGCTTAAAAGTCTAATAGTTCTCCACTCCCTCCCAAAGCTGGATAATAAAAGTAAAATCTCCCTTACAGAACATGGTGGGCCAGGTATGGCACCAAGTCCCCTCACACACACTAGTATCCCCATTTTAAAGATGAGGCACCTGAGGGACAGCTAAGAAGTTTCAGTAAAGAAGCCATCCGGCAAATAAGTCCTACACTAACCACAGCACTATATTGCATCTCTATTTTTTATTTCTATTTTCCCCTAATCTCTTTTTATTAACTCTTTATTATGGAAACTTTCAGACACACATAAAGCTAGAAAGAGCAGCTGCATAAGCCACCACACACTCAGCACCCAGCTTCACCTGTCATTAACACACAGGCACCTTCACTGCATCCACACTCTCCTTCTCTTCCCGCCTCCCCTCAGGCCCACACTGGATTACTTTGAAACAAATCCTGAATATCATGTCCTTTCAGGTGTAAACACTTCAAAATCGATCTCTAAAATAGGTAACATGTCTAACTCTAATAAGGCTTCCCAAACAAACTAGTTAGCCTGGCTTCTGGAACCACCGGGGGCCGACTAACTAGATTGTCTCCGATTACAACCACACACCCGGGGCCCACTAGGAGCCAGTTTTGCGAAGGGTGGTCCCAGAGTACCTGAATGAAGAGACTTTGGGGAGATTCTTAAAACTTCAGGTTACTGATCCTCACCTCCAGACGTTCTGTGTGAGAAATTCTGATAACGCCCAAGGATTCACATTTTTGACAAGCTTCCTCAGGTGACTGTTGCATACACTAAAGTCTGAGAACCTTAGGTACAAAGGTGCCCACATTTCCTGCACCTCCTTTTCTTGCCTTTAGTTATGGTGTCCTTTCTTGAAACTGCTCCTTTTCCTGGAGGTACCAACCAGTCACCGCCCTTTTCCTAGCCCAGATATAGCTCTTTCAAGAAGTCTTTTCCTGATTTCTCCAATAAAATAGTCTCCCCACCGTTTAACTCCCTTTACACCTTATTTCTCTTACATATCAAGCACAGTTACTGTGTTACTGTTTTTTACCCATTTATTTTATCTTGTCTATTAGATTATAAACTACTTGAGGACAAGGGACATTTTTAACACTTCTTTGTATCTTTTGCATTATGCTTTGCAAGAGTTAGCAATTATTAAATAATTCTAGAATTGACTTGCACTCTCCTATAATTTAGAACTTTAATTTCAAAGCTAATTATACAGTTTTTAAAAATATAAGTCAAAATTAATGTTCAAGTGAATGAATTCTTTCCCCATTTCCCATTTAGTCTAAAGATGCAGAAGTTAAGAAGAGCATTCCTAGATCACTATCATTAATTACATAATATGGCATTTTACTATTTTAATAGGACATTAGGTGTTGCTTCCAGATCTGTTGGACTAAGATCCTACAGACAACCTCCCTGTAGAAAACTCTAAAACCCAGACATAAATACAAAAAAGCGACAAGTCACAGGTCCTAGAGAGTAAAGAGAAGCAGAGGGACTCAGGTGGGTAGTTTGTGCTCACGTGAAGGGCAGATGGGAGCTCTACAAGTGAGTTCCTATCTCTCCCAGCTTTTCACCTGAGCTGAGTAGAGTCTGCAAGGTGCACAAAGCTACAGCAGAGGCAGGGAGAGGATCCTCAAACTCTATACCCAAGAACCACACACGGCTGTACTGAGACCAGAGCTGCTGCACAAGAAAGAAAATTTGCAGTTTAAGTGCTCCCCCCCCCAAAAAAATTACCTACTCACACAAGGTAAATAATATTCATCAGAAAAAAATAACCAAATCCAGAATCTCTACCACTTCTTGTTCATCACACCTAGAATACTATTAAAAATTACTTAACAAAGAAGCAAGAAAATGGAACAGATTCTCAAAAAAAGAAACATCAACAGTCCGACCCAAGATGAGCCAAATTAGGAACTTACAAGGGTTTTTTGTTTGGTTTGGGTTTCTTTTTTTTTAATTAAAGATTTTATTTATTTATGTGAGAGAGAGAGCAAGCACATGTGAAAGCAAGAGAGCACAAGCAGCAGGAAGGGCAGAGGGAGAGAGAGAAGCAGACTCCCGCTGAGCAGGGAGCCTGATGCGGG